CCAATACAGTACCGTATTAAATACCTTCCCTTCCATCACGACGCTAGACGTCTCGACGATGGACGCCTCGACGCCCAACCCTGCGACGTACCTACATCGACGCCTTCCACGACGCTAGATGAAATTAGTACATAATTTAATGTCTGTATTTTCAATGGTGAGTCAAAAGATTTAGTAACCTTCTTTGAGATACCACCCCGGTTTCGTTTAAGGGCGGCTTGACATTTGCTGTAAAATATTATCAATTTAACCAATAAACCACATGGCCTTCAGGTCATACACCCCGAAACATAGGATAACATCTGTTTTGGATGGGTGAAATTTGGAATATTTTAATAGAAATAATAAAAATCAATATTAAGAAATATACAGGGTTATATTAAGTTATTTCAATAGAAATTATAATAATCAATATTAAAATACATACAGGGTTGTATTAAGTCATATCAATAGAAATTATAAAGATCAATATTTTGGAAATATACAGGGTTGTGCTATCTTGGATAAATTGTACAAACCAAGATGGTAAAATTTAATAGTAAGTTAACCAACTGGCGAATACGCTGTTCGTTAACTCAAGGGGGGACACCTATACGCTAAGCAACCCGTTCTACAAGGTTTGAAACAAAGTATATGTGAAATCAACATAGTAAGGTAATCAACTGGCGAATTGGCGCTGTTTGTTACTTCCGTTGGTCACACCTCTATACTCATCGTAATATTTACCTAAGAGGGTGCAACCTGTATATATCTACAATAGAATCAAATCAACATCAACTCAATAGTTAATCAACTGGTGAATTGGCGCTGTTCGTTAACTTCGTGGGTCATCAACCTAAATCAGAATATAAACAACAACACTATAGGTAATCAACTGGCGAATTGACGCTGTTTGTTAACTCTGTTGGTCATCAACCTAAATAGGATATATATTGATAGCAAATGAATATGGTCTGCGTTTGAACGGGACTCAAGTGAGATCTCAGTAAATAGTAACAATTGTAAAATACTTTGCTAATTATTGCATCACATTTAAAGTATGAAAAATAAATAAGAGTTTAAATATGAATTTGTATGTTTTATTTATCAATTTGCACCAAACTTTGCATCGAATTCTGGTTTACCTTAATTAACATTATCACAACGTGGGTATATAAAATATCAATTAATTAACTAGACGATCATTTCTACTACTAGAGGAAAAAGGCCAAATTACAGTAAGTATAGAATTTAAAGTAAAGTAAAACTTGTGAGGTAAATAAATAAATAACATTCAAAGTAAAAACACAAGAACAAAATCAAAAGAAGAGGGGGCCTGGGGGCGGGCCGTCACAAGGTATACTTTAAAAATGTTAGGAGATTAATCCTAAGCCTGAGTGTAAGTTCCAACTTGGTGATAAGCTTGCTTTTTGTTCGCTAATATCTGGTAATTCTATATTTTGCACAAAACTCAAGAAACGTCTTATAACAAGTCAGTAAAATACAATTTAATAAATTTTAAGCCTAATAAATTTAGATATATAAGAAATTTAAAACTGGAAATCGCAAAAAAATCAAATTACAGTAATGTAGTGTATACACGAGTTTTGGATCCCGCGGAGCGCGTGTAATGGGACTTTTGTCGGGAGAATTCTACAACTTAGAAGAAACATACACACTTTAAACTTTGTATACACATTTAGAAGACATGAAATTTGGGTTTGTTTAATTTTCAGACAAAAAAACTAAAAATTGTCAATTTTAGGCAACTTTTCTCAAAAACCGTGTTTTTTGGTCGTCACTCAATGAACAGTGGTCAAAAAAATAGATAAAATATATTTGCAGAATTTTTCGTAATGTAATCGTATTCTAGACACAATAGAGTACTAAAAAAAAAGTTTTGAGCCATTGGGTGCACTTTTGGCATTTTTGTGCCACTTCAAACTTTCGAAAATTTTTTTTTTTTTTGAAAAAAAAATTAATTATTTGTTTGATATCTTAGCCAATTATGGTCCGATGTCGGTGACATTCACACACACATAAGATTTCACATTTAAGAGTAAGCTTTGTAAGTGGCATTAAAAAAATTCAAATAGTTTGGCCGTTATAGACAAACAATGAAATTAGGACCGCGGTGCATTTTGCCCTTCCGCCATATGCCCAATTTTGAGATTTCTCTTGCCCCCTTCTGGGAATCACTAGTCACATCCCTTAAGTTCAAAACGCATTTTTGTTTTTTCAAAGATCTTAATTTTTACCAATGTTATAAAGAATTTAGTGTTTGAACATTTAACAAATTCAATTTTTCGACCTTCGTCGCCTCAAAATACTAAACAAATTTCAATCGTCCATACCGCGAGAACGGTGCATCGGATCAAAATTTCTCAAGAGACATAAAAATTAGCATTTTTCCTAAGCTTTCAAATGTCGTAAATTGCGTTTTAAAAATATTGATTTATTTCCGACATGTGCCTGCGCAATATTGAGAAATTGACAAAATCCAAAATTTCGGCACTTTCGAAAAACTGCTACATTTTGTTTTGCCTTTTTTCGAAAAGATCACCTCAACATACATAGAATCCATTTTGTTTCATCTAATTACAATTTAATGTAAGCTCAAAACCTGTAATTTAATTCGATTATGATTGTGATTTACGTTTTCATAACTCTGTGGAAGCACATAGTTGTGAGCAATTAAAAAGGTTTTTGAAGTGACGTGGACGGTCGGAACAAGGCAAAAAAGTGTGATAATTGAGAGGTTAGATTTTAATACCTATTAACTGTGTAAAAAATTAATGGAAACAAATAATAATTATAGCTCTATTCTAATTAATTATGCCAACCAACTATTATTAATTGCAAAAACACTCTAACATGAAAGTTAATCACGAATATAATTAATAAGTTACATTATTTAAAATTTTAAGGATCAACATGACATTTTTAATAATATTTCCGTAAATACCGAAGTAGTATTTAATATTAAAAAATATTGTGTAATACCAGGCAAGGGTTTTCTTCTGTTGAATCACTTTCTCCATAAAAATGTAGTGAACAAATATAAGTATCTTAAGTACCTAACATCATCCATCAATCTATCAAAAACCTTTGTCACTTCGACCACATTTTTTCACTCATAATGCTCATTTTGAACATGTTTTAATATGTATCTTGCCTAATGATTTGATAGTGTTTTCACGATATTTCAGGCAAGTCTATTTATAAAATAATAATTTATACCGTGTGTCACTTTTACATACTGATAACAATACCGTTTAGTTTTTCCTTTCCGTAAAGATAACATAATTAATTGATTGCAAAAATTGATTTTTCAATTAAGACACTTACACCCGTATGCATAGTCGATCGCCAGCGATTCGCCAGAGATTCATTCCGACGTATCGCCAGCGATTCGCTGGCGATCCGCTGGCGAAAGCCCGAAAAGGTGGCGACCCGCTGGCGATTGTCACCGGCATGTCATTTCTCGCAAGTTTTCATGTTCTTTTATAGGGATTATCACCGGCATCTCTCGCATTTTATTATTGGTTCATTTCTTAAAACTCAAAAAACAATAAACGAATATCAAATTTTTCCCTTTCGGGCGGATCGCTGGCGATGCGCCGAAATGAATCTCTGGCGAGTCGCTGGCGATCGACTATGCATACGGCTGTTATTACTTTACTTTTTTTTATCCCATTTTTAAACGAATACACTTAAAATTATTATTTATCGATTATTTTTTTCGCGTGGATATTTTAACATGCTTGTTTTCAAAAAACAGTACGAAAAAGATGGCTGATACTGACGCATGTGCACAAAAAAAATGTGATGAAAAGACCTATTTTAAGAAGTTTAGTTAAAAGTTGTGCTGCAGACTTAAAATATTTTTTCTAATTTTAAGATATAAAGTGACATCTTTTACAATCGCGGAAGAGGTCAAAACGATCCACTTTATGCAACCAGTTGCATAAAATAGAACAATATGCAACCGATTACGAAAAGTTTATTGTCACCAGTTACAAAATGAAAGTAAATAAAAATGCCTCTTTGGTTTTTAAATCGAAAAATCAAAAAATCGAAATAGGAAAAATTGAAAAAAGACAGTAAATAGTGATATTTCACAATTTTACATTACTTTTAACAACAAAAAGGATAACAAAAAATAAAAGCTGTAAATTGCGTTTTATTTTTTAAATAATTGAAGACCGTTATTGAAAACTGCACAGAAATGTTTAAGGATAACGCATAACGGGTAAAAACGTTTTTTTTTTTTATTATCCGCAGGTAATGTCAAAAATCAGATCGGCTACACTGCACATGTCCCTTATTTTTATTAATACTATTGAAAAAAAAAACGTCTTAGGGCAATCAAATAAAATAATTTTCTGAAATATTTGATTGGAAGTACCTACAAAAGAATGATGGTGAATCATTTTTTAACCACATACAATTATAAATAATCAAGTCAAAATTAGAAAGACTGTACCTATGTAATACGTTTCGAAATGCCGTTTTGTGTAACTCGTTTATTTTGCGGGATCCTTCGCACGTCACTCAAATATTTACTTGTTACACAAAATAAGGTATTTTGAAACTGGTTACATAAATAGCTATTACAAATTTTATTGAAAATATCGCTATAATTTCTTTTTTCTAATTTTGAGTAATTATTTATGAAATTGTGTTTTGGTAAAAAATTACTGACATCTAGGCAACCAATATTACTACTTTCTTATATTGTTAGTTGCATATGACAATTAAAAAAATTAATTATTGATCCTTAACGACTCGTTGTAGTGTGTTAATATTGTTTAAATTAATTAGATTTCAAGAAAGTGGGTTATTTTGTCGTGTATTGTGTTTTAATTATATTGTGCTGATGAGTTAGAATAAAAAATAAGGACCAGAACATGTTGCGAGACCTCGCTCTGCTCGTCCCGCAAATATTCACTCGTTACATAAAATAAGACATTTCGCAACTAGTTTCATAAATAGTTATTAAATTTACTTTTCCATTTTAGGGATGTGACATGGTTAGTCGACGAGGATAAATACGGTTTAGGACAAAAAGGAAAATTTTTCAGTAACAACAATCACCAATTTGATGGTTCCTACGGTGCATCAAAAGCATGGGGATCGCACGGGCTTAAACCTGACACATTCGGTGGACGTTTGGACTACATCAACAAACCATCTGGTTCTACAGGTTTCGTGGGCGTAGACAGAACACCAGGATATGGGACTGATGTCACTGCTGGAGCTAAATATAATATTGCTCAAGGGAAAAATTGGGGAGCTGATGTTACTGGACAGTATGGAAGGCATTTTGGAGGACCCGGTGGTACTGGAAAGCCTGAAGCGGGAGTTTCCTTAAACGTGGAAGGAAAATTCTAAAATAGACTGATCTAGCTTTAATATTTATATACTAATTATTGTGTTCATAATAAATTATTCTTTTATAAAATATAGTTTTAATTACATATAAACTTTTTGTGTTTCGCTTGAGAATTAGATATTCAGGCACACAGGAATTGAAAAACAATAAAAATAATAATTTTGGAAATATATTAATTTGTATTAAGAACCCCGCATATCACAAATATTTTGTTATTTGACCGTACCGACCGTAATTTTAAAAATACATTTTTTCGTTTTCACTGGCCGATTGGTAATTGGTATAAAAATGGCGCGTTTTTTTACATTTTTGAAAAAAAAAAAATTATTTTTTTGACTACAATTCTAAAAAACGCGCCATATTGGGTAACATCTAAAAACCGATTAAAAAAACCGCATAATTTTTTCTCGCGAAATAAGGGAGTTATGGTCAAAATAAATTTAAATTTAAATAATTGTCACTGAATTTTGCTGCCACCACAAAACCCGGCGGACTTTTATAGAACTAAGTAATACGTAGACCATCAAAGACGACATTCTTAGTGCCTACACTGGGAAATATAACACTGAAAGTGTTCTAGTATAGATATTTTATTGAAACACATACAAATAACTATCTCGTAATTATTATTACTACTACTACGGACTATATGGATAATAAGACTTTATAAAATATTAGGTACTTATATACTTACTAAATTAAACGGATAAAATGTTTAAAATATCTTTGTTTGAAAATTAGCGTTGATAGAAAAATAGTTTTAACTTGGTAAAGGATATCAATAATATACAATATAGGTATCTATATTTGAGCAAATGGTTTTGTATGAAATCTTAGTTCCAAATAAGAACAGTAGTTTGTGCAATAAGAGTGGATATGATAACCATATCGCACGAAGCCGAAATTTGAGCACGACGCCGTAGACGGTATGGACAATCCACTCGAGTTGTAAAGTATATTTTTTCTACACCCACATGGATATTAGCTAATCTACGAACATATAACAAAACGAAAAAGTTTGCTATTGCGTTCAACTAAACGAATATATTTCATATCCATTCTAGGTCATTAAAAATTATCAAATGAATCTATTGCATTTCTTTTTATCAGCGGAAGTTTGAAATCTTATTCTATTATAACCATATCTAGTAAAAAGTTTTCAAGTAGCTCCTTGGTCGAGGTGGCATAAAAAAATTAAAAAAATAATAATAAATAGCGGGTTGCAAAAATATTAAATAAATTATTAAAAATATAAAATAGTGTGTGGTGAGTTGCGGTTGTGTAAAAACAAGTAGGGATGTGGTCTCAATGAAATATATTACAGGAAGGGACGTTTTTTGAATGTCCAGTATTCAACGTTCAAATATAATTCAGAATTGGACGTCCTCTGAATGGTCAAAAGTGTGCCATTTGTATACTTCACTGGACGTCCAGACATCCAAAATTGTATATCGAATGGACATACAATGGACCTATTTGTGCTGTTTGGGTATTCTCAATTCAAATTAATTTTCGCGCGCCTGTCATTTGTCACCTATAAGTAGGATGTTTGTTTATTTACATGTGTTTGTTTTGGGCGGATTTTGCATTTGTGATTTTTTAACTGTTTTTAGATAACATTCTCAGTAGTAATACTATAAGTACTTCAAAATAATCAGGTTATACATCGATAACTTGTTGCATAATAATAAAGAGTGTCAGTTTGACAGTTTAAATAATCCGACCGCGAAGCACTGCACTACAATAATTTCTGATTACTCCATTCCTGATCATTCTATTGGATAGTTAAATGTATAATAAATTTTATGCTTAAATAATATACAGGGTGTTGCATTTGAAAAATTGATTAAATTGAACTTAAAATAAGCATTATTTAAGACATGTTTCAAAACACTCTGTAGAATATAAACCAGTTCTATCAACGCTATTCGTTAGCTTAGTATCTTATAAGCCTGTATATTAAACAATTTTGAAATCAATCTAAACCTACCTAAATTATGATAATTCGAGAGACGCTTCCCACCTTTTTGAGACTCAGGCCCACAAGGGTAAACTCGTAGCGTAACAAAGACGAGAAATGATTTAACTTGGAACGAAAGACCGAAAGCTGATAGTAGTATTAGGACGTTGAATTTTTTGTTTTGTGAAGCATTGGCATGCATTACTTAGGTTAAACCATGTGATGATTTTCACAAGCCTTGATTTTTAAAAACATTCTATATCGCCTTTTAATTAGGGTTTAAAAACTTGTTCGAGCAATTTATCCAATAATAATTGGCCCTTTTACCTCTTAGACCTGCTCATGTAAAATATTTGGGCTCCTTTTGTGGTTAGGAGCGAAATAATAGTACGCTTGAGTTAGCACTACCATAAAAAAGTCATTTTTAAGAAAATGTTTATATATTTTTCATAAATAGGCTTGGCGACTAATTTCGAATAAAAATAGCCTTCAAAATGGCTATGGTTGCAAGTATGAAGGTCGCAACTCGCCTTAAAAATTTCACCTTTACTATCAACAGCTGTTGTTTGACAGGTCGTTAGAGAATGTTTGCAATTTATAGAATGTTGAGAATGTTAGGAATGTTGACGTAAGAAATAATTGGAATTCCTAAAATTGTCATATAAGAATTGTATAGGCGGATTTTAAGAAAATTGATATTAAAGTAGTTAAGATGAACCGAAAATTCTGAAAATCAATAGGGTTCTAAGTTAGAAGTAATTATTCAAGAAAATCAAAACCGTAAGTCAATCAGAGCTTTCGTTCTAGAGTTATTGTGCCAGCATACATACACACAGACGACCAGACGAAATTTTTTTTTTCATTTTCGTACTCAGAATGATCGGAAACGTTTTAAAAAATGGGGGTAAGAAAATTTTTTTCGTCTGCACGAAAGCAATAGTGAGGCCCCATAGGAAGGGCCTCAGTAATTTAATTTGAAGTCTGCAATATTCTCTTATTTCAAATAAAAAAAAACTATTGCTTGGCAAACATTCCCGGCTCGAATACAATATTATAAAACTAGAAGTTAATTACATGTATAACATAAGGCAATAAAAAACATAAGTTTAAAGTCAAAATGTGCATACTTTCGTGTTTAATAGCTTTAATTCTAATACTTTTTATTATATTAAGAATATTAATTTCTAAAACTTTAAGGTTGTATTAACATAATTTTGACTATTATATTAAGAGCGATATCCATGGTTAGAAACAGGCTTAAAACGACTTCAAGGTTCTCTTTCTCAGTTTTAAATATTTTTTTATAAAATTTGGTATACCTACTAAGCAAATGATAGAGAACTCCGCTGTAGAGCCCGAATTCAGAAAAACTAATTTTTTAATTATTTCTATACAAATTATGAAAATTATTGCAAAAAGGAGTCTTTACCGGGAATTGTTATATAAAAATCAGCTAATTCTTTCCAATACACTTTTTTGTCCAAAGCGTATATTTTTTGAAAACCTTGAATTAGGAAATCTGAGAAAATCTGTCAAGATTCCAATCCATATTAATTGATTTGGCAACAAGGCGGCGGACGTTGGCGGTGCATGCAGTACCGGAAAATTGGGATAAAAATAAAATAATAAAAAACTTTATTCTTTTTAGTGTAGGTGTTTTTGTTTCGTATTTAGTCAATGTGTTTATATGAACTTTTATGTGTAAGCTGAGTTATAATAATTTGTGATAAAAATGGGAAAACTTTCGGAAATGCCGAAAATTATATTTCCGTTTCGACGGAAATCTATAAAATATCGTGCTAGATTACTTAGAAAAAGACAAACATTAGCACCCCTTCTAAGCATTAAAGTTAAAATATATGGGAAATTAATATACTAAGTATTGAATAAAAAAAAACCTCTAGCTTTAAAGCAATATTTACAAATTTAAAGCGGATATCCAATAAATGTGGTTTATTTGTGGATTCTGAATATGGTTTTTAGGTTCCGACGGTTTATTAGGAACAGACAGTATTATCGAAATTAAATATCCTGCCACTGCTTCAAAACTGACTCCGAAAAAAGCAATGGTTGACAACATAATAAAATTTGCAATTATTAATGATAATGCGAAAATGCAATAATTGTTCAGGGGCAACTTAACGTAACTAAACGAAATATTTTTTTTTTTTTATTTATTTTAATACCTTCAAGTATGTTAGTAGAAAAAATAAAAAAGATGATAGATTTTGGTGTATATGGAAAACAAACTAAAGCAATTTTATTTAGATTGTATACTACCCGAGATCTTAGATCCACGTTTCACTAGAGGTTTAGATATTAGAAATTTGAGTAGAAATCCGAGTAGAAATCCGACCAATAGTCAATAAAAATGATTATTTTTATTCCTTCTTTTACTAATAATAAATCATTTTACTCAATGTTATTTTTTTCTACGTACAGACTACAAAACGAAAAAATATGCTATTGCGTAAAATGAGTTATACTTGTGTAGAATCGATAAATAATAGCATTTCTAGTTTTATTTGATCTATATTTAGAAATAAATAATTATAAATTTTAATTAAACTATATGAAATCAATTTAATTTATATTCACTCATGTTACACAAACTACTATTTTCTACATCCACATGGATATGCTTTTTTCTATACCCACATGAATATTAGCTAATCTACGCACATACTACAAAACAAAAAAGTATTCCATTGCGTTCAACTGAACGAATATATTTCATATTCATTCTACCTAGTAAGAACACTGCAAAACAGTTAAATCCACCAATCAGATTATATATTGGTCACCCGGCTACTATTATTTTTTAAATTTTATGTAGTTAAACTAACTGTCAGTATAATTTTGAATTATTGAGATTAAATATACGTAAAAATGAATATTTCTTATGTATAATCGATAAGTAATAGAATTTCTATTTTTATTTCGTCCAAATTTATAAACAAATCTTAAATTTTAATCAAACCATATAAAACTAATTTAATTACAAGTATTAGAACTATAATGGCAAGTGTGGCGACGGCACGGAGTTTGTCTCCAAGCGAGAGACCCGAGTTCCAATCATGGCTGGGGACTAATTAAATTAAATCTTTTTGTATGTTTATTTTATTTTATAAATTATTAAAAGTCATACATTATTTTAAAATTATTTATTTTGTCTTAATAAATTACTTTTTTAAATTTGTAGAATTTCGTTAGGGTGTCGTAGAAAAAATATACTGTACAACTCGAGTGTATTGTCTGTATCGCACTCAGACGATTAAGCACTCCGTCTACGGCGTCGTTCTGAAACTTCGTCTTCGTGCGATATGGCCATCATATCCAATTTTGTTGCACAAACTACTATTCACGCACAGACTACAAAACGAAAAAATATACTATTGCGTTCAACTCAACGAATATATTTCATATCCATTCTGGGTAGTGAGAACACTGCAAAAAAATAAAATCCACCAATCACAGTTTATATATTGGACACCCAACAACTATTATTTTTAAAATTTTAAATAAGTGACAATTCTGTCAAACTAATTGTCAGTATATTTTTTAGGAATTGAGATTAAATATACATTAAAATGAGTTATTTTTGCGTAGGATTCATAAATAATTTTAATTTAGACCACAATTTAAAAAATCCTAAATTTGAATTAAACTACCTATATTAAACTAATTTAATTACTACTTTTAGAACTAAAATTTTAAATGTGGAGGTGAAAATGAGTTCAAATCTGGGCTGGGGACTAATTAAATGAAATATTTTTTCATGTTTATTTTATTTCACAAATTAGTAAAGTCATAAATTATTTTAAAATTAATTATTTTGTCTTTTCCTAAAATAATACTTTAAATTTGTAGATTTTCGTTAGTGGGTCGTAGAAAAAAACATACTGTACAACTCCAGTGGATTGTCCACTGTTGTTGCACAAACTAGTATCAAATGGGTTATTATTTAAAAAACGTATTTTTATACAGGGTATTTGTAAATAAGTACGAACAATTTTTGCAAATTGTTATCAAAGTTATTTTGTTAAAAAAAGTTCCTATAAAAGTAGGTCGAAATATGCTTCGTTTCCGAGATACAGAATGTTTAAATTTTAATTTATTAAATTTTATTAATTATTTTTAATAGTTTTAAAGATATTTACTCTAAATTTGCAAAAAAACTTTGAAGGGGCAAATGTGTATTTTTTGGGGTGTTCCAAATATTTCTACTTGTACCAGTGGCGTTTGTGCGAGAATGCCACTTTTTTAATAAAAAAAGTACTGCGCCACTGACTTTTTCGATCTATGTTTTTTTTATAAAATAACTTCGGCAAACATTCCCTAAAATCATTCACACTTACCAACAAACACCCTGTATATAAGAAAATGTAGAAATAGGTACATATGTATATTTAAAAATATATTTCGTAAATAAATAAATTAGTTATAAAAAATTTTTTTCGAAAATGTTACACCAGGTTATACCTTTAAAAAATATTTTAAACGAGAAAACAAAACAGAAATATTCTTTGTTAGACCGGACCTGCGATTTAACGGCATTTTTAATATTTTAAATCATCTATAGTTTATAAGTAATAAATTGAAGGGAGCGTAAGCCTGGGAATAGAGCAACGTTGCCAGAGTGGGTTCAGATGCACTGAAAGTTGTCAGTGTGTTCTAAATCTGAATTTGCTGTTAGGTGTTGCATGGATATCGCTCTTAATAAAAATGCTTTATAATCTGGGCCGACTAGAGGGTAGACGAGAATAATTTTTCGAAACTAATTGAAACATAAAAATAATTTTAATAAATTGTATACCTTCATGCGTTAATTAGTTGTTAGGAATCTCGAATTTCACAATCAAAGGAACTTGTTACTTTTATCTGTTGTCAATAGCAACGAGTTGTGGTCAAAAAGGTTCATATTTAACGCCATCAATGGGCTCTATTAGTGCGACGTAATTTGTGTTCTGATGACAGTTGACTTATAACAAAAACAAACCTGTCATTGAAATTGACATATACTTTTTAGTTTTTTTTATATATATGTTTGCTGGCCTCCTAAACACGTATTTTAAACGTACGTAAAAAACATATTTTTATTATTTAAATGAATATTATCTTGAAAATAATAGAAATAAAACGGAGTAAAAATCTACTGTTACTATCATTGGCCATTGGAACACAAATTACGTCACCACTAATCCCAGCTAGCACATACCGTTGCCAAGCCTTTCGGATGATAAGGAAACGTAATAAAGTAAAATGCTAAAAAAAGTATCCATGAAAAGTACTATGAACATTTAATCTGAGTTCGGAACGATCATGTTTATGTCAATTGTCACTTGTCACTTTTTCTTGTCATATGTCATGTTTTTGTTAGTTGTTTTTTAACTTTAATTATTTTATATACAATTTTTATACATTGGAGTAGAATTGGTAAGGATCCTCTATAAAATATAAAACTATTTTCTAAAACATTTTCTTCGTTTCAGATTACAATGCCTGGTGTAAATCTAAATATTTCATTCATTAGGTACCTATACAAAATTACAAAATGGTTTAACTAGGTACTACAAAAACAAAGAATGGTGTAGATGAACATCGTTAAAGAGAAGATAAACAATTAACCGAGGGTCCAGTTACATTTTACTTATAAATACTTATATAAGAGGTATAATATACTTAATCGAACTAAAAATATTATGTTTTAGGTTTCCTTTGTACCTGATGTCCTGATGACATTCTAGGAATTTTAGAAGCAGGGATATTAGGGTTACACTAAAAGTACATCGCATGCGAGCTTAAAGAGCCAAAAATTGCAGCTTATTAACATAGATGGGATGTTTTTGTGCTAGCTGGGATATTAGTTGTAAAATATCAGCTTTATTGACGTTTGAAAAAGGAGTTATGTAATCGTATTTACACAATGAAGTAGGTATATATTTTTTTCCGAATGTCTTTAATAGGTAGATATATAATTTCATAAATTATTTTTATTGGTTTTCAAGTCTTAAGTGCCAGACTGTCTAATTATCAAACGAAAAACAAAAAGCATAATATATGTAATTTTATAAAAAATATTTATTAAAAACACAATATTTTAGTATACAAATAATAAAGCAGCACGAAAATTTATAAAAAAAGGTCAGTCTATTTTAGAATTTTCCTTCCACGTTCAAGAAAACACCAGCTTCAGGCTTTCCAGTACCACCGGGTCCTCCAAAATGCCTTCCATACTGTCCAGTAACATCAGCTCCCCAATTTTTCCCTTGAGCAATATTATATTTAGCTCCAGCAGTGACATCAGTTCCATATCCCGGTGTTCTGTCAACGCCCACGAAACCTGTAGAGCCGGATGGTTTGTTGGTGTAGTCCAAACGTCCACCGAATGTGTCAGGTTTAAGCCCGTGGGATCCCCATGCTTTTGATGCACCGTAGGAACCATCCAATTGGTGATTGTCGTTACTGAAAACGGTTCCTTTTTGTCCTAAACCATAACCACCCTGGTTAAGTCCGTATGTCAGATCTCTAAAATGGACAAATAAGTAGTTAAAGCAATATTTTCAACATAACTGATGTAATTAAACTTAATATCTTACGTCTGAAACACAGCTTTTTAACCCAACCTCTTAATATATTCCTTCTGGAGCTAACAATATCTCGCAAAATATTATACAAGGTGTTTCCGAACTTGGCGTCCAAATTTGTAGGGGCAGTAGTTCGCATAATTTGAGACCGATTTGCAGATTTCATTTTACCAAAATATTTAAAATAAAAATAATTAAGAATTAATTAAAAATTATAAACCGTACGGTCCTGCACAGCGATAGGATCGCTTCGACTCGCGCGCGCTACGCTTAGAATCGACAAAATTGCAAATCGCATCTGTTTTTGAGGACTATTGAAATCTGCCAATCGCTCTCAAATTATGCGAACTACCACCCCTACAAATTTGGACGGAAACACCCTGTATATTTTTGAAATGAAATAAATAATTACCTACACCAATTCTGGCATATGATTTATTAACAAAGCATTTATAGAAAATAAATACAAGATAACCAGGATAGCATTTCAGGCAAGTATGCACCGAGAGAAATTTCTTTTAGCCGTTAAACAAAATCTTATAACCATTAAAAGATTTCTGAATTGAATAGGCGCCAGCCTAGCTCCCTTTTCATAGTCATGAAGGTATTTTTTTCAAAAAACTTGTATTACTATAAAATAGTACTGGTATACAAATAAAAATGAATTATCATTTTTTTAAATAACGGTTAAATAGTTACAGTTTTGTCGGTTAAATAGTTACAGTTTCATCGTTATAATGTTAACGATTTCAAGATTACAATGTAACTTATGATGAAGAAAGAGTTGATGTTAAAATCTACTCGTATAAAAATAAAACTATAACTGTTTTAAATTTAAAAGACTAGCTATTTGGTTACTAAATGGTATATGAATACTAGGTGTGTAAAATTAGTATATTCACTTTGTTGTTCTTAAAATAAACTTGCATAAGAATTAAATAATAACCGTTTCAGCTTTAAACGACTACCTATTAGTGGTTTAAAGGTTTCTTAAGAAAATATACTTTGGTAATTGACTCCTTTTATACAAAATGTAGCTATGCAAACTTTTGGTATTTTTCAATTTTATTCCGTAGTTTATTTTTAGCGAAAAAATATATATTTCTAGGTAAAGGTTAAACGTGTTCCTCCACTTTTTCAAAATTTGATTTTTTTTTTTTGAAAACTCGTTTAAAGAAATAAATATAAAATTTATTGCCATGAAAACCAAATCTTCAGAAAAGTAGCTCCAGGACACGTTTCAACCTTTATCTACATGTAAGTACGTATTTTTTCCCCTAAAAATAAATAAAAATAGTGGGATACTACAAGTTTGAATAGCCTGTAATTCGTCTTAGGAGACACTTGACAAAGTAAAATCTTTTCTAAATAATACAAGTCTTCAAAATTCTTCCCTCCTGTCATTGATGTGAACAAACCAGTCACGACATCGGGCTGCCTATAATACAAGTAACAAAAAAAAGGGATAAATCATGAAGAGATGACGTAAAATATGCTACAATAGAAAATAAAGTAGAAGATATAAAAACAATTGTGATACTTAATACGGATTCAGAATTTAGTACATTTCAAATATCTTTGGGCAAGAACAAGATTCATTTCTTAGGAAAGAATATGTTTTTAAATAAACGTTTAATAGAAGCAAAATAACTATTTTTATGAATTGCACGATAATATTCTGTTTTTTTTGTGTAACACTTCTGAATGTTAAAATGAAAAAAAAAAAAAATCAAAAAAATCAAAAAAATCATTAAAAGTAGATACTTTTTCGTATTATATTGTTTTAGAGGTGACCCTTATAAAATATAAAATAAAAATTATGGATTTAAATTTTTAACATTACAATAGCTATTTAAGCAACTAGTTACGAAATGCTTTATTTTATGTAAAAAGTAAATCTTTGCGGGGCGAGCAGAGCGAGATACCGCAAAATGAACGAATTACATAAAATAAGGTATTTCGCAAAGTGTTACAATAGGTATTTATAAAACTAGTTGCGAAATGTCTTATTTTATGAAACAGCATTTCGTAACGTGGGATATACAATATTTTTTCTAGTTTTGACTAGATTATTTATAAAATTGAGTTTTGGTAAGAAATAATTAGCATCTAGGCAACCCATATTACTACTTTCTTGTATTGTTAGTTGCACATGCATAACTTCATGCATTTAATTGACAAATAGAAAATCATATTAATTTATTCTCACCGACTTGTTGTAGTGTGTTTATATTGCTTGTTGAAGTTATTTCGTTTTTAAGAAAGTGAGTTATTTTGTTATGTATTGTGTTTTGTTATTTTTGTGCAGATTTAGAATAGAAGATAGGGATCAAAACAACATTATTACTAGGTTGTAAATGAACTAACCAAATTTTATTTATATATAGCCAAACCTTTCCTTAATTGATATAAACTTTTAATGAAAACGTATATATTGATTTTAAAAAGGTTTATTTTTATTTGTTTTCTTTTTACTAGTAATATAATAAATTTTTCGCAACCAGTTTCATAATGTTTAGCTTTATGCAACTAGTTGTATACAGTAGATCATTTTGACACTGCGATAACAAAAATGTCATTTTATATGTCAAAATAAGAAAAGCGAATAAATAAAACTTCTTAATTACGTATATTTTTTAAAAGAAAATTTATATTATTAAGTTATTAAGTTACCTTCTTTGTCTTTGAACTGGAACCAAAACGAATTCTTGCCCAGTTTCATCTTCGAAGACATCAAGAGGCAGAGCTGCAGCTACAGCTACCAAAGCAGTAAATGCAATGAAGGTTTTCATGTTTTATTTTTAATAATTCTTTTTTTAAATTACTATTGGTATATATTAGTTTTGATTGAAGCTAGAAGTGTACTAATGCTGATTCTTGCTAACCAATATATTTATACTTACTCATGTTGTGATTTTTCTTAAGTAATTTACATATTATTCTGTATTTAAAAAGTACCCCGATAACATGATGTGATTGTTAAAGAAATTGTAAATAACATAATACGAGATAAAAATAATAGAGGAAGTCTCCGAGTAGTCTGAATGGTGTAGAATCCCATTTTAAATTAAGTGTGTAATTTAGTTATTTCACCCAAGCTGTTATTACAAATAATATTAATTTATGTATTTAGATTATTTGATTCTTTAAAAACCAATACTAGAAATTTTGTTTTTAACACTTTTATCAATATACGTATTCCATGACAATTTTTGAATTGATATATTTCACAAAATAAACAGACGTTTTCGTTTATTCGATTGATAAAGTGATTCTTTATCGATCTAGTCTGAGTACAGAATAACCTACCTATTAGGCATTCCAAACTGAATGGCTACCAGTGGGTTTTGACGGGTTATGATATGCAAAATTATGGCAACCCTGTAGGCCTGGTGATTTGACAAGGTCAATGAAATAGATAGTTACATAGATTGATCATCCATATTTTTCAAAATAAATATAAGCTTATGCCTTGAAGTAAAAATGTAAGCAATTATTTTTTTTTTAATATCTAAAGGCTAAAAATTGGTTTCAAAACACATTTTTGCTAAACCGATCCAAATTAATAAATATTTTCCAGGCAATATGGCCGCTCGTAAACGACCAGCTTTGAGCAATCTATATAACTATATATGTATCATTGACCCTGTTAATGACAACATGACAACAGGGTTTCCATATCTAAACTGTCATTACTCACTGGTAGCCATTTGGACAGGTCGTTGGAATGCCTAATTACAGAAGCGAAGGCTTATATCGGCATTTTTCATTGACACTCGGTGACAGTTGACGGTTTTGTTGGTTGTTACACTGGTAAAAATGAACAAGATTCTTATAAATTCGGATAATACGCTGAGAAAAGAATTTAAATATATGTAACAAACTTAGTAACATTCACTATTTCTTCTCTGAATTGAAGGTTAGTGATATAATTAGAAAAATAGGGCTTCACAATAATTTATTTTCGAAGAAAATTGTACTGATCGCTAAACTAAAAAAGACTTGAGGAACCAGACCGAATACTCGTTGTACTTAATTCATTAACATTAACTCTTTAACAGAGTAATTCTATTACAATTTATTGATGTATTAATTAATTGTGTACTTTCCTGGAAAACACCTTATCCAACTATGATAGTTGGATCTAGAAAAATAGATTATACTGATAATAACTGGCATTAAAAATGCAAATATACTTCCCAAGTGTAATTTTAAAAGCCTTTTATGTGTTTTAGAGCCTTATGATATGTCAATAATACCATAAACAATCCTTGTAATAAGACTTTCATCATACTCTTTTATAATAATTTGACAACTCGGTGGATAAATCCGTGATATTTTATAATTCTATTTTTATAAACAAAATTAATCTAGTAGTCGTAGATAGAAAAGCATCACCAATAATTGGCGTAACGAATTATTACACTGTTTTACACTGCATTAGCTCAAATGGCTTTTCTTTCTTTCGAGTCCAGTAATTGCAGCACTTCTTCATTAACGTGGGAGTGGAGTCGACCCTCATGTTTTGCAGTAACCTCTTTTATTGTTTAGGTAGAGCAAGGGTACATCAATGATACATCTTAGAACTTTATTTTGGAAAACTTATATTATGGCACATCTTCGTATTTCATAAATCCAGACTGGATTTAGGATTTGCTTATAAATCATATGAATTTATTGTACACATAAATTTGCATTTTTAGATGCATAATTATTAGAACTTTGTATTAAATTGAGATTTGAAGAAAACTACTGTAGGAAAAAGGTTGTTATAAATAAAACACGTACCCATACTGACTATTAATTTTAATAAACCAAAATACGAGAAACACGTATTACAAAAATCAAATTAATAAAAATCTCGATATGAAAAATTCACACCAAAAGGCACAAAATTTTAGATAAAGGAATATGCCCTAGGTCATAAAAAATACAAGGTAAGCGACAACTGCTTGTATTCATTGGAATGTCTTCTAGCTAGAGGCTTTTGGTTTGTAAATTCCGCTTTAGATTTAACTGTCTGCAAATGGTTGGTTTAAAAATTGTGGCCCAACCAAAGGATATTTTTGGGACTGGCACATATATTATCGAAATAGAAACAACAATATCTCTTCAATCTTCAAAGTTAGTCACTCTTTTGTTGGGATCTAAAAAAAAAATTAAATTAAAAAAATACATAAACACAACACTTTTATATTATTTTTAATACCTGGTTTACTGAGAAAATCGTCGTGAGATTTAGTAGTAGATGTTGAGGGTACAGACTCATTCAGAATGATCAGAATATTGTCAGAAGTTCATTTTCAAATAAATGTTTCCGAGTTGATCTAACTGAAAAACTATTGGGTTGGAAATGTTTTTTTCACAACTGGTAGCTTTTGCGTAATTATTCACTGATTATATTAATCAAGTCATCTTGATTACAGGCTCTTAACCACATGGAAACCCTAAAAAAATACAAAATACATTGTCATAGGTAGGTACATAAATACAATTTATTTTAAAAATGATAAAATAATTGTTTTGATTAAATAGCCAAATAAATAATATACAGTTAACATTGCTGCATTTGAAAGGTACCTCGTTTTACTCATTTTACTTGAAGCAGTTCTTTTAATGTGGTCTTTTAATGCAGAGCTGATAAGTCAAGTAAGACCCATTTCCTCTGAATTAAATTTTAGAGCTTTCGAAGTAAATAATTTACCTGACAATGGACAATGAAAAAAGCAGAAAACTGTTTTTAACTATACAGTTCACTGGAAAAAAGCAACTGAAGTGTAGATGTACTTCTGTGAGATGTACAGACAGTTGTCTGTTGTGTCACAATTTATTATTTTTCATCTTATTTACATATCTGGTTATTAAGAGCAAAAATATTTTTAAAAAATGTTAGACGAAAATGAGGGCTCAATTTTCGTTTAGCCGAAATCTGTTATGCAAAAACTGTTGTCATAATAACAATTGCGTGATATCTATGAGTAAACAAAAACCCTAATCTTATGGTGAGGAAATGCGTAGTTGCCAAGTTGTAGATGATTACGGTTTTTGTTTAATTTCATTTAACTGAAATAAGTTATGCAAAAAATGTTGCCATGCTTGTCATGTTACCGACTAAACAAAACCTCAAATCTCGTGGTGGGGAAATACGTAGTTGACAAGTATATATCATTTAATGTTCACTTTAGTTTAGTTTTCATGGAAACGCTTGTCATGCTAAGGACTAAACAAAAATCCAAATCCGGCAGTGAGGAAATGCGTAGTTGCCAAGTTATAGATTATTTAATGTTTACTTTAGTTTAGCCGAAATCAGTTATGAAGAAACTGTCGCCATGGAAACGCTTATTATGCTAACGACTAATCAAAAACCCAAATCTCGTGGTGAGGAAATGCGTAGTTGCCAAATAGTGGTTAGTAGGTGGCTGGAACGAGCGTAGTGTGATCTTATGATGTAGGCGGAAAAAGAGCGCGCCCGGTCGACGTTTCGAAATTCGCGCGCGCGAATTTCGAAACGGTGGCCGGGCGCGCTCGCTTCACTCGCTTTCCTCTATAGTAATTAAGAGGTGGGTGGGGGGAGCGTAGCATGATTTTACGATGTAGGTGAAAAAAGGGCGCGCCTGGCCGACGTTGCAAAATTCGCGTGGGCGAATTTTAAAACGTCGGCCAAGCGCGCTCGCTTCGCTAGTAGTTAGGTTGTGGGTGGGAGGAGCGTAGCGTGATCTTATAGAGAAACTGTTGCCATGGAAACGTTTGTCATGCTAATGACTAAACAAATCCCGTAGTGAGAAAATGCCTAGTGGCCAAGTTATAGATGGTTTTATTTTCACTTTAGTTTAGATTAGGATATTGTGTTAAGAGTTAATCTAAATATAAGAGACAACTACGCATTTCCTTACCACTCTCCATAACCGATTTCAGCTAAACAAAAGTGAAAATTAAATGACCTGTAACTTGCCAACTATGCATTTTCCTACCACAGGATTTGGGTTTTTGTTTAGTTGTTACCATGACAAGTGTCTCTATGGCAAGAGTTTCTCCGTAACTGATTACAGCTAAATTTAATCATCTGTAACTTGGCAACCACGCATTTCCTCACCATGGGATTTGGCTTTTTGTTTAGTCGTTACTATGTCAAGCGTTCCCATGGCAACAGTTTTACCATAACTGATTTCGTCTAAACTAAAGTGAACATTAAATAATCTATAACTTGGCAACTATGCATTTCCTCACCACGAGATTTGGGTTTCTGTTAACTGGTTACCATGGCAACGGTTGCCATGGCAACAATTTTCACGTAACTGATTTCGGTTAAACGAAAGTTGACCTTTGTTTTGTTACACAATAAAAACAATATCGACCAAATGGCCACCCCAGCATTAATGCAATAATGAGCTCTTTTTAAAGCATTTTTCATAACTTTCTCCAACATTTCAGGTGGTATTCTGTCAATTTATTCCCGGATGTTGTCTTTTAATGCTTTTAGTGTTCGACGATTATTTATAAATACCCTATTTTTGAGATAAGCCCATAACCAAAAGTCTGGAAAGTTAAATCGGAAGACCTTGGCGGATATGCAATATCGGCGTTTTTTGAAATAAGGCGTCCAGAAAAAATTCTGTTCAAAATGGCTATTGTCTCATGGGCCGTGTGTGCTGTGGCACCATCTTATTGATACCAAATATCTTGCTGAGTAAGCTCTTTCATTTCTGAAATTAAAAAATCCAACAGCATGCTTTTGTAGCGATCTCCATTTACTGTAGGGGTTCTTCCTCGATCGTCCTCAAAAAAAATAAGAACCCAAAATTTTTCTACCACTAACGCCACACCACAAGGGCACTTTTAGCTCATGTAACGCTTGCTGGTGAATAATTTGTGGATTCTCACCACCCCAGAAGCGATGGTTCTGCTTATTCACAGCTCCATTCAAACAAAAATCTGATGTG